ACGGGTACAACGATCTGCGTGATGACCGTCTTTGAGCTGGGCTGGGAGGCAAGACTATCGGGGATAATAGACGAGCACCAGGAGGCTAGGGTGAAGGAACCAAAAATAGTTACTCCATCACGGAGAAGGAAGGTCGCCGTGGCAGCTTTTGAGACGACCTTGCTAGACACACGAAGAGCATCCTTTGCGCTCGATTCTATGCGACTTCCGAAGAGCTGCGCAAATCGGATATCCTTCCAGACACCGAGAGGAACATTGACGATGAATGTTGTGGCAAATGTAATCGGGTCAACTCTGGTTGGACAAATATCTTTTGTGATGGTTTCAGTTCCATTGGCGACCGCATAAGTCGCTCCATATAAGGTCCATACGAGACCGAATGGGCGGGAGAAGACAAATGCGCCCGGCCGTTTCAGAGCAGCCAGGCTGTGAGAACGGAGACTTTGGAGAAGAGGTCTGTTGGACGAGGCTCGTTCGACAAGGGCTCTGTATTGGTTTCATCAGTGACCATTTCCAAGGCGACCATTGTCCATACCAACATACCGATCAATAATAGTCACTGTAGGCGCGATCAGCGATGCCGACACTGCAGCAGCGGTCAAGTCTCCGGCGAGTCTCCCCGCAACGGAGCTACCCCAATCGCCATGGAGTGTCTGTGATGTTGTGTAGCTCATGAAGGCAGGTGGCTGGGATACTGTTTGTTCGTGTGAGGTAGTTGTTCACTTGGTTGCCATTGCAGCATTCCACACCGGATGAACACCCTGCTGGCAACGTGCGAGAAACAGCGAACCGGCCGAGAGGGGCCCTTTGATTGCGCGCCATGAGTAATAGAACTCTCTATCATCGGTCATCCGTATCGAAGGCACTCGGCTTCCCTTCCGAAGGCGCATGATGGCTATCAGTCGTGGCGTGGGGAAACCCCAGACTTAGCGTCGGATGCTTTGCCGAAATCTCCAATTCATAAGATGGAGCTGCCCGCAGCTTGGAATGCTGTTCTGGCTTTTGTCTTCACCCTCATCACCTCAATTCATCATGTCTTCTACTAAGATGCTTTCCATGAGACTGTCCAACCCTGCGCGCTCCTCTGCGCGTAGTTTGCGACCCTTCCCGAGTGCGACTTTGCAAATCCGCACCAAGCGACCGTGCCCTTCAGACTCCCCGATGCCAGAAATGAACCCAACGTGAGTACAAATCACATATTTGAACATAGGATTCTAGGCGGCTAATTCCTTTCCTCATAGCCTCTATACTTGCGAGGCTCCCAGGAGCGCGCCAAGGTGGAAGAAGCCTTGAAGCAGCTCCGGTCCCAACTCCCCGTCCAAAGTGAAGTCTTCTACAACGGTGTGGCACAGAAGGTCTCCAAGTCTGTGAATCAACCACTTCCTTCGGAGCATGCCACTACCTTCACCAACTACCCCCTTGCCTCCAAGGAGCAGGTCGCTGCTTCCATCGAATCCGCTCTCAAGGCCAAGAAGAGCTGGGAGGAGACCCCTTTTGTCGATCGCGCATCTATCTTCTTGAAGGCGGCCGAGTTGGCCACGGGCAAATACCGGTATGAGCTGATTGCGGCGACCATGCTCGGTCAAGGAAAGAATGTCTGGCAGGGCGAGATCGATGCTGCGGCCGAGTTGGCCGACTTTTTCCGTCAGAACTGCAACTTTGCCGCGGAACTGTTGGAGAAGCAACCCACTCGGGGTACTGATGGCATGTGGAGGTATGTACTGGCCGATGTCAGTGAGCTGTTGTGAGAAGCCCCTAGCTAACTCTTGTAGTCGGATGGAATACCGACCCCTTGAGGGATTCGTGTACGCGGTCTCGCCCTTCAACTTCACAGCATTGGGTGGCAGCTTGGTCTCAGCTCCCGCCTTGATGGGTAACGTGGTGGTGTGGAAGCCCTCGCCATCCAGCATCTACGCGAGCACATTGGTTTACAAGATTCTGCTTGAGGCTGGTTTGCCTCCGGATGTTGTGCAGTTTGTGCCCGGTGATGCGGAGGAGGTCACCAGCGTGGCTCTCTCTCACCGCGACTTTGCCGGCTTGAACTTCATCGGATCATCTGATGTCTTCCGCAGCATCTATGGCAAGATCGGCGAAGGTATCGCCAACAAGACCTACCGTGAGTTCCCTCGTGTGGTCGGTGAGACCAGTGGCAAGAACTTCCACCTCATCCACAACACCGCGGACATCCCCAGCGCAGTTAACCACACCATCCGCGGTGCTTTCGAGTACCAAGGCCAGAAGTGCTCGGCCACCTCCCGTGTGTATCTCCCAGAGAGCCGTGCCGAGGAATTCTTGACGGCGCTGAAGGCTGGTGTCAAGGATATCACTATCGGTAGCCCCGACAAGGACTTTGAGGCCTTCATGGGCCCTGTGATCCACCGCCAGTCCTTCAACAAGATCAAGTCGATCATTGATGCCAGCAACAAGGATCCCTCCCTGACCTTGGTGGCCGGTGGTACCTACGACGACTCCGTTGGTTTCTACGTTCACCCCACTGTCTACCAGGCCCACTCCCTTGACCACCGCCTGTTTGACGAGGAGATCTTCGGACCCGTCTTGGCCATCTATGTCTACCCTGACGCCGAATGGAGCTCTATCCTGAAGAAGGCCGACCAGCAGGGCGGTGGCTTTGCCCTTACCGGTGCTGTTTTCGCCAAGGATCGCCGTGTGATCCGTGAAGCTGAGGATGCTCTCCGCTACTCCGCTGGAAACTTCTACATCAACTGCAAGACGACTGCCGCTCTGATCGGACAACAATCCTTCGGCGGTGCTCGTGCCAGTGGTACGAACGACAAGGCTGGTAGCTCCGACATGCTGCGGCGCTTCACCAGCCCCAGAATGATCAAGGAGGAGTTCTTCCCCTTGGAGGGCTTCACCTATCCTAGCAACCACTAGATACAACTACATGACGGCATGAATTTCGATGTTATGGAAAGATGTACATATAGTTAGATTTCAAAAATTCACGTTTTTCACGTTTTACTTCTATTTGACGTAATCTTTTCGTATATCAAGGACTCATAAGATATTTAATCCTGACCATATCATCATTATTGTCTACTCAAAATAGTCTGTATAAGAGAAGCTTGCTTCTCCTCCTTCTCCAGCGGTGTATGTCCGTCTGTCTGTCCGTGTGTCTGTCTGTAGGTATATACCTTTCTTAACTACTCTATTTGTTCTTGATTAGTAAGAAGTATTATGTTTGTAGATTCTATCTCTGCAAGTTTTTTCCCAAACGAAGGGAGGTCACACGATCCCATGTTTCTCACAACCCTTACAGCGCATGCGCCAGGAACGGCAAGGAGCTGGACCCATCGACCCATCGAACCATGGCACAACCCCTCATCGGATTGCATCCCGATGGTTGATATGGATATGGGGCGATAAGCTATAAGTGGGGCTCGTGCGAAATCCCCCGCATTGCAAGCTGTTATCGCGGGAGTCTAGTCTATCGCTATCGGGCCCTCGACCGGCAACGCTCCCGGGCATTCACCTCCTTCCCGGCAGCTCTGGGGTCGCTTGCATGTATATATAAGAACTAATGCAGCTCTCGATACTGTGGATAAAGACAGCATCACGATTTCTACGAATTGGCCATCATGGTTTCCAAATCCAAGCCCATTGCCATTGTCGGAGGCGGTGCCTTCGGTCTCTCGACAGCCCTCCATCTGGCTCGGGATGGATATAACAACATCTCCGTCTTTGAGCAAGATGACCAGATCCCTCCTCGCCCCTCCGCTGCCAATGACCTGAACAAAATTGTGCGCGCCGAGTATGAAGATCCGTTTTACACGGATTTGACCATGGTTGGTAGACTCCTGGGCCCCATCAGCCGTTGGCCTTGTTCTAACCCAGAATAGCAAGCGATCGCCGAGTGGAAAACTCCCCTCTTTGCTCCACACTTCCACCAGACCGGCTTCCTGCATTGTGTCTCGGGAAAAGCCCCCGAGCGAGCGGTTGAGACTCTCAAACGCTTCCAGGCCTCCGCCAACCGCCACCCAGAGCTCAAACCACACGTCCTTCCGATCGAAAAAGACGAGGACATCCGACAACGGTTCTGGCAGTTTGACGGTCAGTTCCCCGGTTGGAACGGATACTTCAATAGCTTTGATGGTTACGCACATTCGGGCAATGCCTTGAAGGCCGTGTACCGGGAGACCCAGAAGGCGGGGGTCCGCTTTTTTCTGGGGGAGCATGGCGCCGTCGCCGAAGTGACCTACAAGGATGGCAAGAGCACAGGCATCCGGACGAAGAACGGTCGCTTCCACCCTGCGGAGCTCGTTATTGTCGCGGCTGGGGCTGCCGCCGCCAAATTAGTGCCAGCCATCGGGTCGCAAGTCGTAGCCAAATCGTGGTCGGTCGCACACGTTCACTTGACAGAGGAGGAGACGTCAGCGCTACGAGGCATCCCCATCACCTACGCGCGCGATCTCGGATTCTTCTTTGAGCCCGATCCCGTCACGCAGCTCTTGAAGTTGTGTCCGATGGGCGGCGGATACGTCAACACAGATCCTGCCACCGGCGTGTCGCACGCCCCATCCGTATCGGACAGCGCCTTCGTGCCCCCGGAGGATGAGGCCAAGATCCGGCAACTACTGGCACACACGCTCCCCGCGTTGGCCAACCGGCCGCTGGTGAAGAAGTCCCTGTGTTGGTTTGCGGACACCAGCGACTCGGACTTCATCATTGACTACGTTCCGCATACCTCGTCCTCGGTGGTGCTGCTGTCGGGTGACTCCGGACATGGGTTCAAGATGTTCCCTCTGTTCGGCCGCTGGGTGAAGGCGCTCCTGGAGGCCGCCGACCAGCAACAGCCTGTTCCACGCTGGCGCTGGAAGGAGCCCCAGCAAAGTGGTGATGGCAAATGGGGCGACGCAGTCAGTTGGCGGATCGGGTCGACCAGAGAATTCAAAGATATTCAACCTGGCAAACCGAAGCTTTGATTGTCTCGTACGTGCACTGTTGTTATAATTGTTTTTCAATTTTACGATGTACTTGAAGCGATTGCACTATCTTATACTAGGAAAGAAGACCATAGATCACAGTATATATATATCATCTTTCACCGTCTCGACTGCCCTTCCAGTCTCCATAGCAACTAGCCATGTATCGTCTGGAAAATAGAAATCGACTACCTTTCTTTCCCAAGGATTTGTTCGATTCAGAGTTGATTGAGCCGTAAAAGCCGGTGAAACGACTCTGGTTGTAGGGTGCACCTTCCCGATCGGCCGGTGTCCCGTTCGGCAGTCTTCCCGACCGAGTCCCGGCTCCCGTGCAGGCCGAGTCCCTCTACGCGTCAGTCACTTTTCACCTTCAAAATAGATCAAAGATCGTGTGTGAAAGCGGGTGGGACGCAAGACGTCTTGAAAACCATCGCATGTCCATTCCGTGGCAGGTAATTCATGTCTCATTTCTATGGGATATCATCGCTACTCATAACAAAATCATAACTACCAGATATGATTTTCCGTGACGGCGTGCGCAATCCAATCCACATCCCCCGTATCGATCGACTCCGCCACAGCCATGATCTCGTCCGTCGTCAGACCCGGATTCAGATTGGTGATTTCAGAAATCCCGAACACTCGATCCGGCGTGGACGGGGAGGGCAGTCGGGAGATGATGCGATCCAGCTGCCCTTTCCTTGCCAGCTCGGCACTATGAAGGTCTCCGT